TTAGCTCTCCGGAACGATGTCCATCCGTTACTGGGGACTCAGCGGGCGTGCCACCGTTTGTTTTCCTTTTCTTATCTTTGTATTGCGGCACAGTAGCTGAGGTGTTTTCCACCTCCAGCTAACGTGTAATGATGATGATGATGATGGGGAGAGCACTAGATCAAGAATGTGCAGCGTGTGGCCTGAGAACAACAGAGTGGGTGAAAATACATGATGAAACAAGTTACATTTGAGAACGGTCTGGAGGAGAAGAGTATCAGAAAAAGCAGAAGGAACACCACAATAAAGCAGGTCCTACTCAATGCCAGTTGCACTGAAATCTCCAAAAATTAAGCAGTCCTTATCTCTGGCGTGCGATTTAATTGAATCCAGTAAAAGAGCTCCCGAACCCAAGGTAGATCTATAGGCGACACATACCAAGAGAAATCTACACCCGTCATGAATACGACACCACAGAGCTTCGAAGCCACCATTTATAGCATCAAGTAAATGTGCCTTCAGGTGCGCCCTCCAATAGAGTATAACGCCACCGCCTGACCTCGCTCCGTGGCGATCAGCCCGGGAGAAGTGATATCCAGGGATATATACCTCTGAGTCACTGATGTCCTAGGACAACCACGTCTCAGAGAAAACCATCAAGTCAGGGTGATTATCGATGGTAAGAAGTTGAACCTCGTCCAATTTGTTCCGCAAACTGTGCACATTAGCGGACAACACACGTAAACCGTTCTACGAACAGGGCTTGAATTTGACACTAAATCTTGCTTTTGGCTTTGTTTCTCGCATGTCTGAGTTACGGCTGCCTGATGGCGCCGCAACTACTTGTACCACAGATGCATAAGTCCTGACCGGAGGCTCGGCATGCTGAGTAGCAACATTTACTGTGGAAGACGTGGCACGACTTTGCTTATCGATGGGAGTTATGGACCCAAGACAGGGAGAAGGAGGACCTGCAGGTAAGACTGAGTCCGGGGAAACAAGCAACGCAGTGAGGAAGAGAGAGACGTGGACTAAGCGGTGGTAAATCGGCAAGCAGACGTCCGTCGATGATTGTTATTCTGCAGGCGTCACAAAAGAAGGGGATAGCTAGAGACGTTGTCCGTTGTAGATACGCATTTAAGGACGGGCAGATATCACAGCAAGCAGTGTGAATCCAGCCATCACACAAGCAGCACTGTATGGCCTTCGACCAGTCAGTGACACCCTTATCACAAGAAGCACATTTAGAAGCCAGTGAGAAATGATAGACAGAATAGGACAGGATCCAGGGAAGAAACAAGCTTCCGCTGACCAAGCTTCACGTTTCGTGTAGCAGCAAGCAAAAAAGTGCCCCCAGCACTGCGACTTGATAGAATATTTTGGATTCTATAATGCTGAAAAAAACAGAAGCATGTGCAAAACGGACAACACACTATCATGAAGTAATGAGATTAAGAGCAGCCACTGAAGCTCAAGGAAATTCGGGAAACAGGGCCAACCAATGTTTGTCTAGGCTAGGTTTAAATTCCTCCACAGTTTCGCATGCTAACAGAGCGAAAGGAGGTTTGTTCCAAACAGGCAAAAGCCTGTTTACAAAGAACCTGGCTCTTAACTCCAGCCTAGATCTGTGCTGCTTTGATTTCACGCAATGGCCCTGCAAGCTGTCTGATGTAGTTCAAGTTCAAACAGATCGGTTGGCCTAAGACCACTGAGAACTTTCATGATTTTGAACGTAAACCAGTGGTAGCACGAAAATATACTCGTCAAGTTCAAGTCCAAGCGGGACTGGAAGGACAGGATTATCCTGTGAGTGTTCCTTCTTCAGCGGGTCGTTGAACTAGGAGTTGGCAGACTTTGAAATACTGATGGACCTAAAACAAAGACCGCATCACATCCTGTCCAACCAATTACTGCTCACATATCCTGCCCTAGCAGTCCCTGTTGGGCCGGTTAGGTGAAGTAATAAAAAGAAAAAAGTGAACTCAGAAGGCAAAAAGAGAAAGTGGATAGAGCTAAACAAGTAGAGTATCAAGATATTTGAGTCATTAAAAAAAGAACTGGCAAGTGAAGGTGAGTCAGTTAGGAAAAAGGAAAGGTTCGGTGTTGCCACCCAAGAGCATCTAGCTGGCGTGCAAAACCCTTAACCGTAGGTTCCCTAACCACGTGAACTAGAAGCGAATTCCAGCGATCTATAACTCGGCGCGACAGACGAGTTTCCGTCCTACTCCTATCAGACCGTGGCTTATGCAGTTTCAGTGGGTGACTGCGGAGATTAGGTAACGTAGCGGGACTAAAAAGCCCTGACAAGTCCGAGCCGATCTTACCCGTCAAAATACGATAAGTGAGAATCAGGTCCCCTCCTATCTATCGGTAGTGCATGAAGTACATCCCCAAACTGAGCAAGCGTTCAGGATACGTCTGTCCCCGTAGACCCTGCACTAACCGAGTGCTCACTTTTAACACCTCTAAGTTCATTTGGTCTCGGTTAAGACATGGTGAACGAGCCTGGACACAATATACCAGGTGGGGTCGGACGTATGCTAAGAATAGCTTCACAAACAAATTGGCCGTTAAGATTCCGAAAGAGCGGCGGATAAACCACATTATACGAGACGCCCGACAAGCAGTCTTCTTTTAATTGTCGCCAGAATGAAATACTGATGAGTGTACGACCCCTAGATCAACCTGCTGAGTGACAACAGGGAGTTCAACACCGCCGACAACATATCGGGTGGGAGGAGTAGCAGCTCCGATTCGGAGAACAGAGAACTTGACCCTATTTATGGGCATCAACCATAAGGTAGACCATTTCCAAAGATTATCCAAGGCACGCTGAATTGCCTCAAGACCCCTCGGGATATCCACAATATTCCAGGGATTAAGATCGTCAACAAACATTAGCGATGGCAATTCCAGCTCCCCCGGCAAGTCATTTACGTAGATCGCGAACAACAATGGCCCCAATACCGAGTCCTGCGGGACGACACTTCCTGCTGTCCTGAGCGAACGGCTACTCCCCATCCGTACGTACTGTTCCCTCCCCGCAAGGAAACCAGACACTCACTGGAGGGTGCGAGCAAATATTCCGTAATATCTAGGCTTTAGTGAGAGTCGAAGATGTGGAACAGTGTCAAAAGCAGTGTCAGGAACAGTGTCAAAAGGAACAGTGTCAAAAAGCTTTCGAAAAGTTCACGAATAGCACGTTTACAGCTTGGCGACTGTCTACCACTTCGACCCAGCTTTCACGAGCTAGAAGTAGATTAGTCTGGCATGGAAATCCTTTGCGGAATCCATGTTGCGCAACACTGAGAAGGTTGAATCGATTCAGGTGGTTCTCCACTGAATCCCTTATCAGCTTTTCAAACAACTTGACTACTACGCTTGTCAAACTGACAGACCGGTAGTTCGCGGGTAGAGCGCTGTCACCGCTTTTAAAAATCGGACAGATGATTGCCTCCTACCATTCCGAAGGTAGGAGACAGCTGTCAAGCGACATTGAAAACACGCATGTGTGAGGACCACTCAGTTCAGCAGCCCATTCATGCAACAGCTTCGGATGAATTGAATTAGGACCGGAAGCTTTAGAGGGATTAATGCCTTGCAGTAGCTCGAAGACCTGAGTCTCCGTTATGTTAAACTCAGCTAGGCAAGAATCCTCTGGAACACTTGAAACGAATACAACCTGTGGTAAATAGGTCTCCCGAGCAAAGACCCTAGTACACTGATGACTAAGTATACAAGCCTTGTCATAGTCCGTTTGCGCACGGATCCCGTCTGCTCGCAATAACGCTGGTATAGACAGTTTTGCTCCGCTGCGTCTTTTAACGTAAGCAAAAAACTTATGGGAGTAGCTGCGGCCGCGTCCGCTGAGCCCTGCTCGTACTGGAGACGAACAGTCCTGAGATGTTGCTTACATTTATTTCTAATCTCTCGACAACTGTCGTAGGTACTGGCTGATGGAGCTGCTTGGTAGGTTCGCCAGTATCTAGACCGTTTCTTGAGTAGGTGCTTGCCTGTGGTATCTATTCAATGGAGGTTGTGCCCGTAACCCTCTTTTCCACATGAGTGGAATATAGGGAGTGGAACCTCATTAAGGTATGCCTTAAATTTATCCCAGGTTAACTGGACAAAGTCGGTCATCGAGATCCCACAGTTCAAGTTCAAGTTCAATTGGGACCGGAACAGTAGGAAATCCCGCGAATGTTCCACCTTCGAAAACGTCGTTGATCCAACAGGGAAACCGGTGCCTTGATGTGCCAAAGGAGAGCCAAATCAACACACACGATTCATATGGTCACCAAACAATGCCCACGTGCCCTGCACTAGCAGTCCCCGCTGTGCCGGCCACGTGAAGAATAAAAGAAAACAGTAGTGTCAGTAAAGAAAAGGAAAACAGAGGAAAAGACAAGCTAATCGAATATCGTAGGCAATATTAAAATGTAAGTTAAAATGAGTTAAAGAAGGGTAAGCCGTAATAGACGAAGAAAAGTTTAAGACACGAAGGGGAAGGACTTTAAACTGCAGACCGAGAGCGTCAAGTCGATGCTCGAACTCTTTCAACGTCGGTGCCATCACGACGTCTGCAGGCAATGTGTTCCAATAAGCTATAACCCTACGCGATAATCTAAAAGTTGCCAAAACCCGGTCAGACACAATGAAGCTGCACTAAATTCATCAAATGAAGACCCCAGCGGTACATCCGCCTCGGTATTTAGCAAGACAGCCACATTCATGTGGAAAACAGAGCAGAAGTATAGCAAGTATTCAGCAGTAAAACGATCGCAATAAAAAGGCAAAAACAAGGTGCAAAACGGGATACAAAGTGGGAACAACTGGAAAAACTACTGCAGGAAACGCCGAAGACGGTTTGGCAAGTACCACCTTAATCGATGCAAGATAGCTAGGATCAAAGGAAATTTGACAATAGTCACAATGTGATTCAAGTGTTTATTCAAACATTGTTTTCCACATTATTTCAGATAAAAACTGGATCAGTATGGCACGTCAAAAAAGAAACATACCAGGTAGTATTCACAGGACGAGAGCTTTGCAGTACAGGATCACGCTATCCGCAGCAGCGATTTGAATTTCAGATTCAGTTTCAGGTCAGGTCAGGTCAGGTTAGGTCAGATGGACGATAGAGGCTTCCGCCTAACGCGCGTCCAGTTCTTGTGCCGGTAAGTGAAGCGGCCCCCGGCACTTCGACGTTGGATTGTCTCGTCTTTCTTCTGCAATGGAATGAAGCAAGAACAAGAGCAATCTCCGCACTTTCATATGCCAGCATCAAAATACACTACATATACCAGTACAACTACAATGGCTCTGGAAAAAGGATGGACCAACAATTGTCTAAACCTTTTGAAAGGCTTCTACGGTCTCAGACTCCACTAAATCAGAAGGATGTTTATTCCAGTAGTTAACTACTCGGTTCGTAAAAAACTTTGCCCTGATGTCCAAACGAGCTGTGTGATGTTTGAGCTTCAGGCGAGGCCCGCGCAGAAGGTCTGATGTAGCCAACTCAAACAGATGGGTGGAACTAATACCACTAAGTCCCTTAATGATCTTAAACGTCTCTGCGGATTTTGAGCAGTTCTCCGAGCTGGGTAATTATTTTGCAGACGTTTCGTTGCCTGACTAGGCAACATCATCAGTGCGGCTTCAGGGGCCTGGTTCGCAGTGCCTCGTAAGCGACTTCAGTGTCCAAGTGCTTATTGGTCGAGTTCTGTTTTGTATGCCAGGCTTCAATGAACTCACGTGCTTGCCGGCTTTTAGCCCTTCCGAGGATACTGGCATGCTCTAGGTCGCGTACTAGTCACTGCGAACCAGGCCCCTGAAGCCGCCCTGGTGATGTTGCCTAGTCAGGCAACGAAACGTCTGCAAAATAATTACCCAGCTGTGAGAACTGCTTAAAATCCATATCCACACCCCGAGCTACAGATATTCTCATTTATTTCAAACGTCTCTATCAAATCCCCTCTCAAGCTACGCCGTTCCAAGGAAACTAAGCCTAAGCTACTTAGACGATCTTCGTAAGACTTCCCTCGTTGACCTTCAGTCATCCTGGTTGCAAGTTTCTGAATCATTTCTATACAAATGATGTCACTCCGGAGGTACGGTGACCAGGCCTGAACACAGTACTCCAGATGTGGCCTAACCACTGCTTTATATAAGGGCAAGAATACTTCTGCTTTAGTGTTACTCAGCACCCTCCTAAGACGAAATAACTCGTGTCGTGCTTTATTAGCAGCCTGGTGACACTGTGCCGAAGGCTTAAAATTGTTCGCTACGATGACACCTAGATCACGGGCTTCGTCAGTACACCGCAATGATAGAGGTCCCACAGAAGACTGAAGCGCAATGCCACTACCACTACTAGTCAATTGTTGACATCTGTTGGCATTTAGAGGTACGTCCCATTGGCTTGACCAATTCGCCACAGTGATGATGTCCTTAGCCAATGTCGCTCGGTTTCCCCTACTGACTAGCTTCAAGTCATCTACCAAGATGTAGCAGGGATCATCAAGAAGAGGAGCCAGGTCATTTATAAGCATAAGAAACAGCGATGGACCCAGAACCGAACCTTGGGGGACACCGCTGTAGGCATGGCCAACACTAGAACTCGCATCCCCAATCCTGACTCTGAATGTCCTTCCGTGTAAGAATTCAGAGAGCCACCGTAATAATTGAGGATGCAATCCAAACCATGTCAGCTTCTCGCTTAAAAATCGATGATTCACGGAGTCAAAGGCTTTACTGAAGTCCAACTAGCACACCTCTACCGATATCCCACCATCAAGACAAGGGGTAATCTCGTCTAAAAAGCACAATAAATTGGTAAGACAAGACTTCCTTTTGAGAAAGCCATGCTGTTCCGTTTTAATTAGATTGTGTTCAGTCAAGTGTTCACAAATCCTGTTCCTTATAAGCTTTTCCAAGCATTTCAGCGTGATGCCAGTCAAACTAACTGGTCTATAGTTAAGAGGCACCGACTTAGAACCCCCTTGTGGATGGCATCAATAGTCGCCTGCTTCCAATCACGTGGCAGCTTGCCTTCTTGAAGAGACTGGTTAAATAACTCCGCTACGGGAAACTGAACGATATCAGCCAACTGCTTAACTATGGCGGGATGTACGCTATCAGGACCAGCTGATTTATAAGGGTTCGAACTGGCCAGCACTGTGAAGACCTCTGACACATTGAGATTAATTACCCGCATTGTGTAGCTAGTTGAGCAGTGCGGCTGCGATGGCAAGGCTGACCCACTATCCTTCCTATGCAGGCTTTGGTAGACACGTAGCAGCACTTCTACTTTATAAACGTCGTCTACAGCTTGGGTACCGTCCTCCATGGTTAGACAACCGACCACCTCTCTTAAAGAAGCCTATGACTGGACATAACTGTAATAACACTTGGGATTAATTTTCGCCAATTTGGCCATCCTAAGCTCATATGATTACTTCGCCTGCCGCTGTAACTTAATAGCCATATTTCGACACCTTTCTTACTTCAGCCAACGTCGAAAGCCCCGAGTTTCTCGATATTCTCTCCACTCAGCATTGCGCCTCTTTATCGTTCTATCAAGTTTTCTTCTCCACCATCAGGGTTTCCCAAGATGTCTCCTAGGGCGAAGAGGAGCAAATTCATTCAGCAACTGTACAAGTCCACTTTTAAGTAGAAGCCACCTCTGTTCCAAAGTGGCCTTGTCTTGTTCATGGACCCAAGCGATCTGAAGGGCTCGATCCCGCAGCTTCGTAAAATCAATACGATTTAAATCTTTTCCCATTCGACGGTTCTCTGCAAGCCTCGGTGTGTCCAGAGAAAAGGTCAAAACACAATGATCACTCTTACCTCTGGGTGGCTCCATGCATAGGTCAATCAAGTGACCATGTCTGGCGATCACGATATCAAGGGGTTCAGATTCAGTAGGACTGGAACGATAGGAAAATCCACTGAGTGTTCTTTCTTGAACAAATGGTTCAGCCAGGAAATGATAAGGTGCTAGGTCTTGATGGATCTAAAACGAAACACCCGAAACACACTCTGATCATTGAGTTCATTGAGTTGTAGAGTGCAGCAGGGAAATCCCTTGTCAGCCCCATCGATTCCGTATCATACTGGGCTTGATGCTTGTCGTTGCAGTACGACGTTCCTTGAGGGTTCGTTTTAATTGCAGTGACAGCCGCAAGATTCCAGCATTCTCAGAGAAAGTTTGTCTATCAGACGCTTGAAACTTTCCTCGGATGGAGTGTCTGCAATTGCTTCCGGTAGCCTGTTCCAGTCATTCACCGTCCCAGTGGAGCGGTGACGTCCTAGCGAATTTTGTTTCATCTTTGTTTAAACAGTTTGTAGTGACCTGGAGACTCCCCCGTTTGGCTGCCGCATGCTGCGTAAAATATTACAAAATCACAAAATTCTATTTTCTCGATGTGCATAGCAAATTAGCCGCTCGCCTGTTTGAACGCCGCTCACGTTTGTTTGAGTCAATATAGCATCCGCCTTCGAATGGCGCAATGCTCATCGGCTCAGCGGCCATCTTTGCTCTCCGCGCACGCGACCACACCTTTCCCCTAGCTAGATAGCTTCTGGTGCCTTATTTTTAGCACTAGATAGCGTTTCGCCGCACTTAATAAATTTTTCCTAGCGTTACTAATGGTGTTCTCTACTCAGCGCAGGTTGGCCATATATTCGCGTATTGGTTCTAAAGCGTACCGACCCTGCTACTATCTTTCGTGGTGACCCCCGACTTTTGGTCATTATCCGGTGGGTTTTCGCTAACCTTTCTTTTCAGATTTGGCCACACCTTTTCGCTAACCCGTCTGATTTTCACTTTTCAATTTCCGGTTTAATCTCCCTAGTCGCTATTTTGTTCGCTACGGAAACTGATCGAGTCGCTTCTGACGTTCAGATCTGCACATTTACGCTTCCTATTGCACCTTTTCGCGAGACTAATCCTAAATCTTGGTTTGGTCAGCTAGAGTCGCAATTTTCTTTGCGTGGTATTAGGTCCGAAAAGACCAAGTTCCACCTTGTCGTTTCCGCGCTTCCGCTAAATGTCATCGATGACATTGATGACATTCTAGAGCTTCCTGACGACCAAAAGACTTACGATGCAGTCACGACAGCTGTTTTGGGAGGAACAGGCTTGTCCGCTCTACAAGGAGTTACGAAACTCCTCAACGAAACCGATCTTGGCGATCTTAAGCCGTCTCAGCTGCTTCGAAAAATGCAGAGCCTAGCTAAACCCACTTCGATAGATGATTCTTTTCTTCGGGAAATGTGGTTGCAACTTCTTCCGCGAGAGATGCTACACATCCGGTGCACTAGTGAGGATGCACCTTTATCCAAACTGGCCGATACAGCCGACCGAATTTGGGAGTCGTACGGCCAGGTTTCGCAGGTCCAGACGAAACCGGACGACGATATCGCCACGCTTAAATACCAGATGGCAATATTGACTCGACAATTCGCAGGCTTTTCGGCCTCCGGACATAACCGCTGTAAACGCTCTAGGAGCCGTTCGCGTTCACGTTCGAACTCTCCTTTGCGATCACCGAATAGAAACGGTTACTGCTTGTACCACGAACGATTCGGCCAGCAAGCCAAATCATGTCGCCCTCCCTGTTCCTTCCAACGACAGCAGCAGGAAAAAGGGCGGACCAACACGTAGGGGCGACGGTCTTAGCTGGTCAACGCAGTCGCCTTTTCTTCGTCACCGATCATAGAATTGGAGTTCGCTATCTCGTCGATACTGATGCAGAAGTCAGCGTTCTCCCGCGTGATCCAAACGCCCCGACCGAAAAGGTGACTAGCTAATTGCGCGCAGCTAACGGGACCATTATCCGCGTATATAGTCAACGCTCGCGCACGCTAAATCTCACCCTCCGACGCGCTTGCAAATGGATATTCCTCGTTGCGGATGTTCAAACGCCTATCCTTGGTCTCGACTTCTTACGTCATTACGACTTACTCGTTGACGTTAAGCGACACCGGTTAGTCGACCGCCTCACGAAGCTCGCAGTCATCGGGACTTTGACCGACACCGTGTCAATCAGTCCCGTGTACGCAACTCAACTCAGTTCACCCGTCGGGCAAGAGATGTTTGATAGTTTTCCGCAGGCCTTCCGTCCTGCCGTCCCGGTGCCTTCCGCAACCGAAGCCGCGACACATCACATCGTTACGAAAGATCCGCCTGTGTTCGCAAAAGCCAGGCGCATGACCCCGACAAGCTCAAAATTGCAAGTTCCGAATTCGAGCACATGCTAAACTTAGGCATTATTCGCCCGTCTAAGAGCCCGTGGGCTTCGCCTCTACACATGGTGCCTAAAAAGTCAGGAGACTGGCGTCCATGTGGCGACTAGCGCGCTCTCAATATCGCTACCGTCCCCGACCGCTATCCGACTCCGCACATTCAGGACATCACGGTTAGCCTACGTGGCGCCCGTGTGTTCTCGAAGATCGATCTGGTTCGCGCTTACCACCAAATCCCTGTAGCCGATGATGACATTCCGAAAACCGCAGTCATCACGCCTTTCGGACTTTTCGAATTCTTGCGAATGCCCTTCGGTCTTCGCAACGCAGCTCAGACTTTTCAACGCTTCATAGACTCTGTCACGAGAAGTCTTGACTTCGTTTATCCTTATATAGACGACATCTTAGTAGCTAGTTCTTCCGAAGAACAGCACGCGGAGCACTTCAAGATGCTTTTCGAGACATTAGCCTCTAATAGCATTACTTCAACGCTGACAAATGCATCTTTCAGCAACCATCTTTCGAATTGCTTGGTCATCGAATTGACCAGCATGGCATACGGCCGCTCGACGACCGAGTCAGCGCTATTAAGGACTTTCCCGTTCCGACTACTTTGGCCGCCATCCGCCGTTTTAGTGGGATGATCAACTACTACCGTCGATTTCTGCCACGTTGTGCCGGCTTGCTCAGTCCATTGACCGACTTACTTCGTGGACGCAAGAACGGCAACGTCGAGTTGACGCCCGCTGCAACCGAAGCCTTCAAGGCCTGCAAAGAGGCCTTGACTGAAGCCGTTATGCTTCACCATTTCGACCCCAAAGCTCCACTCAGCGTTGCAGTCGATGCATCGGACACCGACATTGCCGCCGTCCTGCAGCAATGCACTGAGGGATGCTGGAAGCCACTCGCTTTCTACTCCCGACGCTTACAACCGGCAGAAGCCAAGTACAGCACGTTCCGCCGCGAACTGCTGGCAGTTTATTCTATCGTCCGACATTTCAAGCACGTCTTAGAAGGTAATTCGTTCGTTATCTTCACCGATCATAAGCCGCTTATTTACGCCTTTCGAAATCAATCAGCTCGACACTCATCACGTGAGGTTCGTCAGC